AAAAAATAAATTATAACTAAATTTATGCTATTTTTAAGCTAAAATTGTTACACAAACTCTACAGCTTAAGGGATAGGATCCAACAATGGTTAGCAAGTTTAGCTAAACAATACTCAACCACATTAGAGACTGCTTCTACAAGCACATCTGGTGCTTTCGCTACAATCTGGTAGCTGAATAGGAAAAAAGACAAAGTATTTTAAAGATGGAGAAGAGGGTCAAAAAGAAGAGAAAAAAAGAAGGAGCAATAGACGGAGCAAACAAAAAAAATAGTGATCCACAAAGCTCAGAACATAATGCAAAAAGAAACAAAGGAGCTAAAAACAAGTCGAAGGAGGGTAAATATGAGATATTAAAGGAAGGAGAAAAAATAGTTGAAGAGTGGATCGATTGGGGAAATAAACCAGCATGGTCTTTGCTGGCCAAAGTTCGCCTAAATATTAAACGCTACTGACATGGTATACAACGACCAATTAATGATTGAAGGGGTATCTTTAATTGATACGAAATTCCTAGTAAGTTAGGGAGTGCTATTTATCACCTGATTTTTAGAGTAGGGTAGAGGGTTAGAAAAATATCAGGTCCTAATATAATAATAGCTTTTGATTGGTTAAAATTATTTAAAGTATAAAAAATTTTAACATTTAATACTAAATAACTTTTAACTCAACGGTCTGTTTTGAATGATTTTACCACCAAAATGTCCGTCTCACTGAGATGATTCTAACAAGCCCAAAATCCAATCACAGGATCCCGAGATCAGAATAGATTTGTATTTTTTTTTTTTTTTTTTAGTAACCACTTTATTACGTCTGAACAGTTAAGTATATTACAAGGTAGTACAGAGCCTAGTTTATATATTTCTATATATCCCGGGTCCCTCTCCCCATGGTGTTGCAGTTCCCAGACCTAGTACCCCCATTCGTGCGTAAAGCATTACACGGCTGCTCTAAGGTGCCTATGTGTAACTGTCTAGCAACGTTTTACCTCCTCTTTGGTCCCTAACTTACTAGGGGGTTACCCTCCAGATCAACAATAGGACATGCTCGCCTATTTGCTGGAGCACCTGTCCCACTTATGTGCCTTACCTAGACTTCGGTAATTTTATGCCATAGCTTGACCTATGCACTTGGGGTCAGGGCTAACCATTAAACCTCTTGTAACCAACTTTAGTACCTGTTATGCTGCCGATACTGTATTTGTACCTCAAGCCATCTTTTAGAATGCTGCTATAACCCGGTCCATATCTCAAGCCACAACCTTCCCAAGTCAGTTGACTATTACCTACTTCTTGCCCTTATTAAGGTTTGGAATAGATTTGTATTATTATATATCCCTTAAACTGTAGAGTTCATGTAACAATTTTAACTTAAAAATAGCATAAATTTAGTTATGATTTATTTTTTT